ACACTTGTAGCCATGGAAGCCATCAGCACAAACACACTGCAAGAGACCTGGACCATCAGGTACACAAGATCCATTCTCAGGACATATTTCTGAGAGCCAGAGAAAAACAGAGAACATCACTGGATTTCATTAGGTATATTTCCCATATATCTCCTTCAGCTTAGATTCTCTCAACTATTTCTAGGTCAAAGGTACAGTGGAAAGAAGACTACAGATAATCAGAACACTGTCATGATAACAAAATAATTTTAAGATCTTTCTTTCCAAAGGGTTAAGACTTCTGAGCTATGACAAACCTAGACAGCATATTAAAAAGCAGAGACATTACTTTGCCAACAAAGGTCCATCTAGTCAAAGCTATGGTTTTTCCAGTAGTCATTCATGTATGGATGTGAGAGTTGGACCAAAAAGAAAGCTGAACGCCAAAGAATTGATGCTTTGGAACTGTGGTATTGGAGAAGACTCTTGAGAGTCCCTTGGATTGCAAGGAGATCAAGTCAGCCAATCCTAAAGGAAATCAATCCTCAATGTTCACTGGAAGGACTGATCCTGAAGCTGAAGCTCCAATACTTTGGACACCTGATGCAAAGAACTGACTCACTGGAAAAGAGCCTGATGCTGGGAAAGACTGAAGGCAGGAGAAGAAGGGGGTGACAGAGGATGAGATGGTTGGATGGCATCACCAACTCAATGGACGTGAGTTTGAGCAAGCTCTGGGAGTTGGTGATAGACAGGGAAACCTGGCATAGCACAGTCCATGGAGTCGCAAAGAGTCAGACACGACTGAGCACCTGGACTGAACTGAACACTTCGGACACCTGAACAAAAGGCACTTAGGCAATTTTACCATCCTGATCTAAAGTAGAGAATACAAGGGAGGAGGGGTAGTTTCCAGAGGGGTGGAGATGAGACAGCATACCTGGATCCTCAGTGCTGTTGCAAATATTCCTTTGTCCTTCGCAGCTTTGGTTGTTTACATAAAAAGTGACAGTATCCCAGGCATTAATGCCTCCAGGACAGTTGACATCTTGTGGCAGTATCCTGAACACAACACAGGCAGTCATAATATGCAGACCAAAGTTGCTGAGTTCATAGCACTGCTTCTCTTTGGTTCTCTCCCCCACCCCACACTCTTACTCACAGAGTCTGGAGCTGAGTAAAGCCATGGAAGGTGTTGACCAAGTCACCCTGGAGGGGGTTTGCCTGCAGGTCTCTGCAAAGCACACACTGTTAGCACTGTGCTCTAGGAAAACACTTTACTTCCATTCACACATCTTTCTGGATGGTAATCCAGTTCTTATTCTGAGTTGTCCAAATGTAGATAATATTCAAACATCTTTTTAGAAGTCCATCCTCAAAGACTTTCCCATCAACCCTATGCCAACGTCACCTTTTGGGAAGGATAACTAATGACTTACATGATGGTAGCAGTATGTGCTTGAGGAAAGTTTGGACCAGGGTCCTTCAGAGAGCAGTTCTGGAGATCCAGCCTGAGGAAATAAGGTAATTAGTGAAACTATGTATCTTTCTCCTTCACCCAGGGTAAGCTATTACAAACCCCTTTACAGCTAATATTCATTGAGCACACCTATGTCAGGGCCACAAACTAGGCACTTTGGTAGATGTTTTAATCCTGCATTGTCCAATTAAGTAACCACTAATACATGCAGCTACTTAAATTTTAAAAATTCTGTCCCTCATTCGCACTAGTCACATTTCTTCAATATCTATTGCTGTCTATTCCTTTACTTAATGGAATAGTGCCTTAATATTTACTTAATGACTACTAACTGCAAATATTACTTAAGCCTAATAACTGCAAAAATTGGGAGAATTAAAAATAACATTCAGTATCTTAGCTTGCAAGTTGTTTATAATGCACTAGGGGAACAAGACCATCACCCAAAATAAAAAATATATAAACATTAAATTGGAATGTGAGCAGTTTGTAAAATTAACTTGAGTGGTACGGACACTAAGGATTAGAGGAAGTGAAAAATTAAAAGGTCTTACTCTGGCATTTAGTAGTACAGAGTATTCACAAAAGATGTTGGAATTAAAGGACAGATATGTCCTAATTTGATAGAGGAAGGCAAGTTTAGGTAAAGAGAGAGGCTTGAACAGAGAAACAAAGGTGGTCTGCTTTTGGAGGTAGAAGAGTCTGGCTGAAGCCAGACTCTCCTGGAGGGTTTGAGTGGACAAGTAATTGAAAGTAATGTTGGAAAGGTAGGTTGGGCCAGTCTATGATAGTTCCTGGTTTGTACTTCATCCTAGGGCCACAGACAATTATAAGTTTAATTTTAAAGCCAGAGAGCAATAGTGGAAAGAAACCGGTTTTCTGAAAGTTCTATATAAATAAGTATTTAGATAGATAAGGGAATGAGGAGAATGGAAGCAAGACAAGTGACTTTCTGAATCTGAAGTGAGGGTGCTCTGAAAAAGGAAATGTTTAATAAGGATCTATTATATTTTCTTCACATATCTGGAGAAAAGTCAAAGGAAATTAAAAGAGATCTAGTTTGGGGAGACACCTGCATAATGGTTGAAGCTGTAAGAATAAGTGGATTCTCAAGAATGTGAGGGGAAAACAATGCAGGAAGTAATCTGTATAAGGTGAAAAAAGAGAAATTTGCCTCAAATATGAATTAATGAGAAGAGAAAGAAAACCATATTTCATAGTGTCCTGGAGGCCAAAGGAGTCATTTCATGGAGACACTACAGTAAATAAGCCAGAGAGTTGATAATAAATGAAAGAAATAAGGTTAAAAAATGCTCAAAATTATGACTTTTATGCATTTTTCAACCAGGAAGAACCACAGGGTTGTTTAAAGTGTTAGTCACTCAGTACATGTCCCATGCTTTTCAACCCCATGGACTGTAGCCCGCTAGGCTCCTCTGTCCATGGGATTCTCCAGGCAAGAATACTGGAGTGGGTTGCCATTTCCTTCTCTGAGTGATCTTCACAACCCAGGAATCAAACCCAGGTGTCCTGGACTGTAGGCAGATTCTTCACTTTGCCAAAACAGATTTAAAAGTCTGAGACTCATGGTTTAGATGCCTCAAAAATATGTACGAATATTTATCCCCAAAGCCAATCAGGCAAGCCTTGAAGAATCCGGTTTGGGAACTCTTTTCCAGTACCCAGGGAGGTCTTCTCCTCCCTCACCCCAGGATGGTGCCTTCCCCATTCAGGCAGCAGCGGGCTTGCAGCGTTAGCTCTGGTGTCCGCTTGCAATAAAGAGCCACTTCTGACAAATTTTGCACTCTCCCTGGACACTGGGTGCATATCTGTAAAAGAGAGAAAACTATTAGAACTCCAGAAAGAAAAGCCAAGGAAAAAACAAAAAACAACCGAGGCTCAAACGTTAACTGCCAGTATACGTTCCAGAATTCCTCTAACACAGGGCCTTTATGTCAGATTTACTAGAAGACACATTTCTTCCCCTGCAACCAGGCGCCAAAACAGCGCACCAAATTTCTGTACGGATCTTATCCAGGGAAGGATCTCATTTCTGAGAATTACTATTCGAACACATTTATAATGCCCTCTCCAATGACTTCTCAACCTGCCAGCCCCATGTGACCGGGTGTAAAAGGACTGCAGGTAGACAAAGAACTCATCAAGCATTACAGAAAGTAAAGTCCTACCAACGCACGCTAGCCAGCGGCATTAGAACGCCGTGAGCTTGCAGAACGGCCGGAGGACTCATTCGTGGAAAGAACTTATAGTTATTCGAATATTAAGGAGAGAGGAGGTCAAATTTCAAACGTCTTTGGACGTCAGCAGGGCGAAAGCGACAGCGGCGTTCAGTATTCGGGAGTGGGAGCCGGCTGGGTTACGGCTAGGGAGGCCCCAGGGACGAAATCGGGGCTGCGGCAGGCAGGGGAGAGGGGAGAGCCGAGGGCCGGCGAGCAATTCTTTTTCAACCCAACCTTTAATCTGCTTCAGTACCTCGGGTAGCGCCAAAGCCCTTGCCACGCTCAGAACGAAGAGCAGGGCGGCAGCCCAGGGAACCAAGCTCAAAGGACTGCCGAGCCCGCAAAGGACCATTTTTCGCTCTCTCCGACCTACTCCACAGATCGCGAGACTTGCGCGGGAGGCCCCGCCTCCCACCTTGTCACGCCCCCGTTCGGGGCGTGGCCTGGCCCGCCTGGCTAGTCAGGCGGGGCAGGTCGGTGTTGGGGGAGTAGGGGTCGGTTAGCACTAGTCGCCGAAGTCAGCGCATCTTTTTTGTTGTTGGGCGCCCCAGTCCTCTTTCGGGGGGCTGACCACACCCTTCTCCCCCCTTAAGCGAAGGCCTCCCTGCCACCTCTTTCTCAGCGCCACGTTCCATGCGCCCGGACGTCGGGGTAGCGTCTCTGTAGTAACTCGGGGTTAATCCATTTGCCCACAGTAAACATGGCGGCGCGGGGACGGGCAGGGGGCGGGACTGCGCTGTCACCCGGCCTGGCGTGACTTGGCCCGCTCTCCCGTGGAGGCCGGACCCACGTGTGGAGATCGGGCAGGTGGGCCGGTCGAAGGCGGTCCGTGAGGGGGTGGGTCGGAGCACAGAGGCTCCGGAGTGTGGCGTCAGGGCGGGGAGGGACGGGGAGGAGTGGAGAGATGAGGGGCGGGATGGGCCGGCTCCTATACTGAAGTCCGGGGAAGGTGAGGTGCCGGCGGCGGGGTGGTAGTGCTTGTGTCACCTCGCGTGTGGAGGTAAGGAGAGAAGTCAGGAAATAAAGAGTGTAAGGGTGATGGTGGAGCGAAGGGCGAAGGGCAAATCCTGTCGGGAGGAGACGAGCTTGGGGACGCTCGGGGCACCCTGTCCCTTTCAGCTCAGTCCTGAAACCACGCGGCGTCCGGTGCTCTGGCGAGGAGGTGGAAGCAGGATAGATGCTCCCATAACTCCTCATCTCCTTTGTCTTCCCAGAAAAGGAGCGATGCAGATCTCGGGAAGAACGACAAGACCTTCTTAGTCTTGGCTGGGCTCTGGAGGTAAGGGAAAGATGAGGGCTGTCCTGTGGTGGCACGAGGCCCCGACCGAAGGGCGCCGAGGGAGCCCTGTGCCGGAAGGGACTGAGTGTGCGCTTTGGTTAGGGCCAGCAAAAACTCATCAAAGCTAACCAAAGCTCGTCTTCTAGCCTGGCTTCCCTTCTACCTACCCCCAGGTGTCTGGAATCTCCTAAAAGCATTTACTTTCAGAGGGCTGGCACATTTACTAAGGCATTAGTTACTTACTAGCGTTTTAATGGGAGAAGGAAATGGCACCCCACTCCAATACTCTTGCCTGGAAAACCCCATGGACGGAGGAGCCTGGTGGGCTGCCGTCTATGGGGCCGCACAGAGTCGGACACGACTGAAGCGACTTAGCAGGAGCCGCAGCAGCAGCGTTTTGATGAGGACCTCTAGAGCGACTGAACTGAACTGACAGGCTTTCAGACCTTGCGGGATTCTAGGCACAAGGACAGATTTTGAAGGCATCTTTTGGGGAAGGTTGGTCCTCCCGTGGCCCATTTGCCTTTTGTAGGAGTCAAAGCAATTCATTTTGCTACCAAAGTGAGAGTGTGATTAGGGTGGTTAGGAATGATTCTCTTTCTTGTCTGTGTGTATCGGATTTTTAAAAAGAGCCCCCTACAGCCTGCTATTTGGTGCCCTGTGTGTTACTTTTAGTGAAACAGCTTTTCTGTTACTTTTGGCACCTCTCAGAGAGAGGTGAGTTTTTTAAAGGTTAGATGGTCCCTGTCCTGCTCTTAGAACCGTGTCTGGTGAAGTTTTTGTTACTGGTCAGGTTTTTCCTGTCTTGCCTGGCTCTTTCTTCAGCCAGCCAGGAGGGTTCTGTGCATCTCATGCAAATGGAATTCTCAGGAAGCCCTGCCAGTTTACCCCAGCAGCAGAGGGTCTCCATTTCTGTACATCTTGTTTTCCATTCTATACCTTGACCTTCCTTCCTTTCTGCAACTACCTGCCTAGCTATATACATATACAACCATTTACCAGTGTACATTGTTATTTATACACAGCAGACACATTTCCTCTTACTCTCTGGTAGTTCCCATCACCTCTATCATAGCAATGAAAAACTTGCCAAAGGGGAGTGAGAAAACTTCAGATGTTGCAATGTGCAAAGGCCCCAGGCATCTTTAGGTTAAACCTGAGTGGCCTGTTGGGAATATTGTTCTGGGGACTCATGTTGGTGACTTAGTAGAACATGTGATTCAAGAGTTGCCAGCTTGTTTTCCCCTCTTCACTGGCCCTAGGAAATTCAGGGTTCGGGTTTGGTCTGCATGAAGCCATATCTTGCCAGGCAGGCAACATGTGTCCAAGAACACCGGGTAGGAGAGCCAGAAGACAGCGAGGCTGATCTTTCTCCTAGTGGGCAAGAACAGAAGACTGATTTATGTTAATCTGTCTCTAGATTAGTTGAAACCTGAACTTTGTTCCAGGAATGATTGACAGCAGTTTGTAACACTCTGCTCCAGCCCTGGTTCAGGGAGTAGAGAGGGAGGGGCTTCTGGTGAATTACCTGTCACCCCTACTGACAATCCTCTCATTTCTCTGTTGTTTTATATCATGCTGTCTAACCTTAGAGAACTAAAGAGTGTTCATATAAAGTGTATTACCTGAGAGACATGGTGTTTTGAAAGGTATACATATTATTTATCATTGCTAATATTTATCATTGCTAATAAGTACATAGCACAGTGCTGTGTTTTATAACAGGTGTTCAAAAAATGTTAATGGTCATCATGTTAGGCTTTCTAAATTCACAGGTCTGTTGGTAAATGAGAGGGTTATGCTAGTGATCTCTTAAGATTCCTTTAAGATTTGGCATACTGGGATCTGGTCCTTGTTCTGAGGATAATGGTATTTAATATATTCTCTAAGGATTAGTATTTATTGTGCAGGAGTTAGAACAGCAACTTTCCCATCTCTCAGCAACCCTTTTGCAATTCCTCTGGCATGCAGTGCCAAGTGGGACTTGCAGCAAAAGTCTAATCCATCTAAGAATGCCGTTGAATGTGAGCTCCCTGCTCTCCCCTTCTGGAGTCTCTAGGGCTGAGCTGGAGTTTGGGGGTTGTAGGGTGATAGGGCCATTTGGACTGCAGTGATTGGTTCCCTGAAGGGGCTGGAACAAATAGCTGCTGAGTTTCACTCTACCTTCAGCTCTTCTCACCTCTGCTCCTTAGAGACCAGGCCCTCAGGCCCTCAGCCTCCCTTCAGCTCCAGACACGGAGCTTCTCCAGGCAGCCTTGCTTCACAGCAGGGATTGCTCCTCGAGGTAGGTGTCTGCTCCAGTGGGATAGTACCACTTTCCCTGACTGTTTCTCTTGCCCACCCCTGCCCCAGCTCCCTGGTTAGCTAGCTTCTCTCTGAAGTGCCCCTGAAATTGTAAATCTGAACCCCTAGTTCCAGCATGTTGGCCTCTCACTTTTGAACCCAACCTCTCTTCCTGGATCTGCTACTGACTGCCGTGTTACAGGTAGAGGAGCTGAGAGGTGGTTGGCAGGCTTTAAATAAGTTGGGGAGAACAGAGTGGTTGGCCTGGGGATGCCTGAAAGGGAATTTGAGGCTGCCATGGAGGTGGTCTTCCTGGTGGTAAGTGCTGAGAAGGCATGCTGTTCGGAAGGTAGCACTGGGGATCACGGAAGGTGGGGCCTGAGGCTGGGAGAATAGAGGAGGCCGTGGTTTCAATAGTCTCTTCTTTCCTCAAGTTTCTTCTTCCCTGCTGGGTGGAGGCGCCAGGCTGGACTCTGCTGGCTTAATACATTGTAGTGACTGGGTCTGTGCCTTCCGGCAGGGGATGGGGCAGGAAATTCTGAGAAGAAACTAGAGGGTGGGCTAGAGGTGGTTTTTCTTTTCCTGCTAGGGTGAAGACATTAGAAGGTTCTTAAGTTTCACAGTTGTGTATACCCAGAAAGGTCTTGGCCAAATAGTTACCTCCTGGCTCTCTCAATCTGCTGCATCTTCCCTTTCTTCTCCGCCCTACTCAACACATATATCAGTGCCTCCAGGCCTTTTTGGTTGCCCTGGACCCTGGCTGGGCAAATCTGATGGGTGTGGAATGCACAAGCCCAAGGGTGGGTGGCCATGAAGGCAGGAGAGGCCTGCCTGAGAGCCGGTTTCTTTGTAGTTCACCCTGGACAATGTCACTTGATGGTGGAGGAGGACTGTGAGACGTGGTTGGAAGTCAGGTCGTAGCCACTTGCCTGTCACTGACCAGCTGAGTGGCAGCCCAGAGCCCAGGAAGAGCAAGCGGCCGCAGGTCACAGACTCAGAGAGAATATGAGTGTGGGGGTGAGCACCGCCACACCTCTCCCTCCAACCTCAGACACCAACGTGGTCACGTCCACCTTCAGCCTGGTGGACTATGTGGTCTTTGCCCTGCTGCTGGTTCTCTCCCTTGCCATCGGGCTCTACCATGCCTATCGTGGCTGGGGCCGACATAGCATCGGCCAGTTGCTGTTGGCAGACCGCAAAATGGGCTGCCTTCCTGTGGCACTGTCCTTGCTGGCCACCTTCCAGTCAGCTGTGGCCATCCTGGGTGTGCCATCCGAGATCTACCGATTCGGGACCCAGTATTGGTTCCTGGGCTGCTGCTATTTCCTAGGACTGCTGATCCCAGCACATGTCTTCATCCCCATCTTCTACCGCCTGCATATCACCAGTGCCTATGAGGTAGGTAGGGAGGAGCACATGGGACCCTCAGGGGCAGGGGTAGAGAAGGAACCAGGCACACAGGGGTCTGGGCCCCTCAGCTCTGCCTGATGAGAGGGGCAGGGATAAATGCATCGTGTGTCTAGGAGTTCACTGTGGTGAGGTCGGGCAGGGTAGGAGCTTGGGGAGAAGGGTGCTGTGCTGAGGGGGGCCCAGAGTGGATATGAGTTGGCTATTTCCTCTGTTCCTGGGCTTCCTGAAGGAAGTTGTGTGTGATTTGTTGGGGATGGGGTGGGGAGGAATGTGTTTTTGTTTTTGTTTTTAATCTACTCCTACCTAGTACCTGGAACTCCGCTTCAATAAAGCTGTGCGTGTTTGTGGCACTGTGACCTTCATCTTTCAGATGGTAAGTGGAATGAGGATAGAAGTTGAGCCTGGTGCAGGGTAGGGAGACATGGATTCGGGCTCGCTGGAGCCTTCCCTGCTCTTAGACTAGCAAGACTGAAATTCCTGCTCACCCCCAGAGGCATCTTGATTCTGTCCCTTCCAGTTCTGGCACATGTAACCATGGTGGTGGCAAACCAAACTTTGGGAGAAGGGAGAGGGAGGGGAGCCTAGGTGAAGGGAGGCCACTGGGATATTGGAGCTGAGGTCTGTCTTTTCTTCTCTCTCTGCCTCCCTCATCGGCTCCTCCCTTCACATTCTCTTTCCATACCCAACAGGTGATCTATATGGGGGTTGTCCTCTATGCACCATCCTTGGCCCTCAATGCAGGTGAGGAGTCACAGCTCCTGGCTCCCAGCCACAGCAGGCTAGGGAAAACCTTTGGGAGGGGCAGGTGGAGGAGAGAGTGCAGAAAAGAACCCAACCTTTATCAGAGAGTTATTCTATATGGGTCCTTGGCTGGTCTTCACTAGGGGTGGAAAGATAATCCAACATTACCAGGCTAATTGGTTAATCAACACCTTTTGGTGGAGCTTTGTGAACTTTTTTTTTTCCATTGTGGTAAATGATTTATTTCATCCTTAATGATCAAATGGTTCATATCTTACCAGCATTTCCCTGGTTTATCCCTGGAAAACCCTCTTCTGGAGATAGGAATGTGAATTGGTTAATCAACACCTTTTGGTGGAGCTTTGTGAACTTTTTTTTTTTCCATTGTGGTAAATGATTTATTTCATCCTTAATGATCAAATGATTCATATCTTACCAGCATTTCCCTGGTTTATCCCTGGAAAACCCTCTTCTGGAGATAGGAATGTGACTTTTATCTGTTTACAGTGACTGGCTTTGATCTCTGGCTGTCAGTGCTGACCCTGGGCATTGTCTGTACCATCTACACTGCTCTGGTAAGCAGTCTTAGGGAAGGGTGGAGAGGAGGGAGATGGGGGAAAGAGGAAAAGGTGGGACAAGATAAGTAGATGGGTAGTAGATAAGAGTATAGGTGAGGAGATGGCATGACTTTTTAGGGTGATGTGAAAAGAGATGGGATTATGTTGGGGGATGGGATGTGATGGTAGGGAATAGGATGGGAAGGATGTCAGCAGGATGTCAGCAGCTGTCTACTGCTGGCGGCTGGCTGCTGCCTTCGCCGGTGGTGTGGCTCCGTGGATGTCTATGGCAGGGGTGCTGTCTTCTCCCTGCAGGGTGGACTGAAGGCAGTCATCTGGACAGATGTCTTCCAGACACTGGTCATGTTCTTAGGGCAGCTGGCAGTTATCATTGTGGGGTCAGCCAAGGTGGGCGGTTTGGGGCACGTGTGGGAAGTGGCTTCCCAGCACGGCCTTATCTCTGGAATTGAGTAAGTACACCCCTTCCCTGGCTGGGGTCTGTTGTGCCTAGGAGCTGAGCCCCTCTTAGAGTCTGCGCCTAGGGTGGTAGCAAGCAGAGGGCAAGCTGTGGGAGTTGAGGTGCAGCCTTGAGGCCAGTGGAAGGCTGGTTCTGCAGGGGTGGAGGGCAAGCTCAGTGTTGCTCCAGGTGGTCAGGTGTCAGGATGTTTCTAGTACCTGGGATGAGGCTATGGGTTGGCAGAGTGGAACTACTCCCTTCCCACCTAGTCTGCCGCCCTGTCTTGAGTCCACTTTGGCCCTGACAGCCATCTCTCTGCCCTGCCCTATGTCAGAGGAGGGCAAGGAAGGCTGAGTCTGGGGCCACAGTGACATGTTGGTGTCTATGGCAGGCTGGATCCGGACCCGTTTGTGCGGCACACGTTCTGGACGTTGGCCTTCGGGGGTGTCTTCATGATGCTCTCCTTGTATGGAGTGAACCAGGCGCAGGTGCAGCGCTACCTCAGTTCCCGCACAGAGAAGGCTGCAGTGCTGTGAGGGCAGGACTGGGAAGATGGGGGGCCCTGGATGTGGGAGAAACTGGGGCCTAGTTCTGCGGCGGCAGTTGGGGTGGGGCAGGATGCCAGGGCACACCCACACCCACTGGGCAGGGCGTGGACCTGCCTTCTGGGACGTGGGGATGGGCCTGCTAACACTCTCTGCCTGCTTGGCACTGGCCTCTCTTGCAGCTCCTGCTACGCCGTCTTCCCCTGCCAGCAGGTGTCGCTCAGCATGGGCTGCCTCATTGGCCTGGTCATGTTTACCTACTACCAGGAGTATCCTATGAGCATCCAGCAGAGTCAGGCAGCCCCTGACCAGGTGAGATGGCCTCCCTGCCTGGCCCCCCCCCCAAAGGGAGTGTCTGGGTGGCTGCAGAGAGGACCCCCACCCGGGGTGGGCACTGCATGTAAAGTCCTTCCTCTCTGGAATTCTGCAGCTGATAGAGCCCAGCCCACGGGAGTGGGGACCTCCCTTTACTGACTCACTGCTCCACACCACCTGCCCTGTGGGGAGCCATCACACTGCTGGTCTCTTCTATCCCTCCTCACAGCCTCATCTGGTAGAGGAGAAAAGGTGGCCCAGTGGGGTGGCCAGCATGCTCAAGTCACACCAGTGGCTGGGGGAGAGCTGGGGCACGGGCTGCTGTGTCCTTCTTTCTCCAGAGCCTGCTTTCTCTCCTCTCTACTTACTGTGGGGCCACTTGCAGTGCCTGGCCCTCTTCCTAAGGTGCCCAGTCTCCACAGACTGGTCGGCGCATGTGATTGGCACGTGCAGGGGAAGGGCGGCACCCCCCTGGGAAGGGCTTCTCTGAGGAGAGCTGTACTCTTCTGCTCTGCCTACAGTTTGTCTTGTACTTTGTGATGGATCTCCTGAGAGGCCTGCCAGGGCTGCCTGGGCTCTTCGTTGCCTGCCTCTTCAGTGGCTCCCTCAGGTACTTTGACCTTTCCCCTCAGGCTCTTTGATCTTTCCCTTCAGGTCTGACCCCTCTGAGTACTTGGTGACAGGTGGATGGGAGGTCCCTCTGAGCCTCTCATTGTGCCCATTTGTGTGTGAACAACAAAGGACAGCTCCTCTGTGTGGGTAGGCATGTCCTCTCCTAGGCGAGGCCCCTTTTTGGTGAAGGAGTCTTCTATACCAGGAATTGATTTACTTGAACCAAACCTGAACCCCACTCAGAAGAGGCCAGGTGTCCCTGCCTTCCAGGCCTCTTCCTCGGTTCCAGCTGTCAGAGTGGTGTTTGGGTTACATGCGTCCTCTCCTGCCTTCAGGGCACTCGTCCCTCAATAGGGTCCCTTGTTAGGTTTGCCCTTCTGGACCTGACTTTCTCTTCCTTCTTTCAGCACCATATCCTCTGCTTTTAATTCACTGGCAACTGTTACAATGGAAGACTTGATTCGACCCTGGTTCCCTCATTTCTCTGAAGTCCGGGCCACCACGCTTTCCAGAATCATTGGTGGGATTAAACTTCATTATCTTTTCAGCCATGTACTTTCTAAGATACTCCTAAGCACTGTCAGCTGCCTGCTTTGAAGTGCACTTGCCCAGTGAAACCCTGACCTTGCTTATGTGCCGGGGAACTTCCTGAGGAGCAGTCTTGGTCACCTAGGAGTGAGGACAGGGTGGGAGGGACCTGGAGCTGGGTCCTGAGGTAATATGCCCCCTTCCCAGGGACAGAGAGGTAGTAGTTTGACTAGGGAAGGAGCTTTGCTCTGTTTTCCCTGCTTATTGTGTTAACTCACATCTGCTTATTTCTCCCCTTCTTTTTTCCCAGCCTTTGGTTATGGGCTACTTTGTCTGGGAATGGCCTATATTTCCTCGCAGATGGGACCTGTGCTGCAGGTAATGACTCTGGAGAGGATGGAATTGTTGGGGGAGAAAAGGAGCAGATTGAAATCAGAAAGGGAAGAAGACAGCTATTGTGAAAGGAGTGACACAGAGGGCAGGTGTCAGAAATTCCTCTTTGATGGGCTATTCCTGTAGATCTGAACAGACTTCTTAGTAGCCAAAAGCCCCAGGGTTATTGTTGGCTCAGAGAGGTCTAAGGATCAGCCTCTGGAGAACCCCAGGCATATTCCCATAACTATTTCTGCCCTCTAGGATCCTGCGTTCTAGTGGTTCCAGGGAGAAGAGACTGACAGATCTGACTGGTGGGGCTCTGAGGCAGTGGTGGGGGCTCTGCCACACTGATGATGCTGGGATCTCTGAGCCTGTGTGTTCTTTTTTCTCACCCTGTCCTCTGCAGGCTGCCATCAGCATCTTTGGTATGGTTGGGGGGCCGCTGCTTGGACTCTTCTGCCTCGGGATGTTCTTTCCTTGTGCAAATCCTCCTGTGAGTGACCCACGTGGCTCCAGGGTCATGTGTGGGGGTGCACCTGCGGAATGACTTGGCAGGGCTCTCACCAGGAGTGCTGGAAACTGGTATAAAGCTTTGGTGGGGCTGGCCTTGTGACAAGAGAGTGCCATGTCTCTGGGCAGGGTGCCATCGTGGGCCTGTTGGCTGGACTCATTATGGCCTTCTGGATTGGCATCGGGAGCATAGTGACCAGCATGGGCTCTGGCAGAGCACCCTCTCCCACTAATGGGTCAAGCTTCTCCCTGTCCAGCAATCTGACTGCTGTCACCATGGCCACACTGATGCCCTCGACTGCTGCCTCCAAGTGAGTCAGAGCTCACTCTTTCTCCTTGGGGAAAGCAGCTCATTCTTGAGGGGTTTTCCAGGGCCCTTGCTAAGGGGTGGGCCTCTGGAAGCCTGTGGGGTGGGGAATGCTGGGTGTTGGTTCCCCGGACTCTGGGACCTTGCAGGGCTGGGGTTGGGGAGCCAGGTGCCTGAGGGTCAGTTGCTCCTTCAATGAATTGCTAATTGTCCTCACTGCCTGCTCTCCCCAGGCCCACAGGGCTACAGCGGCTCTATTCCCTGTCGTATTTATGGTACAGCGCTCACAACTCCACCACCGTCATTGTGGTGGGCCTAGCTGTCAGTCTGCTCAGTGGTGAGGAGGCATGGGATGGAGGCGCAAAGAAACGAGGACTGCCTGAGGGAGGGCACTCAGGGGTCTGGGGTCTGAGCTCAGGGGCTCCTGGATGGCTGGAACAGTCAGGCTTCTTGGGGAGCTCTAGGAGGTGGGCAGGGGCTGGGGGCTCAGAGCAGAGAAAGTGGATGGCTCTGGGAAGTGCTCTGGTTATACACTAGGAGCCTCAGGAGCGCTTTGTCTTCAGGGGGCATGCGGGGCCGGACCGTGGACCCTCGGACCATTTACCCAGTGTTGCCGAAACTCCTTGCCCTCCTGCCCGTGTCCTGTCAGAAGCGACTTCCCTGCAGAGCCTACAGCCAGGTAGCTCCTCTGTTGTCAGGTCGCCCCTCCCCTCCCTCTCATAGCGCTGGGCCTTCTGGTTTCCATCCCCCCCTTTTCTTTCTCCCCCAGCCCCCATTCTCTGATGATCTGCCTGAGCCTGGATGGTCCGGCAGCAGGTGCCGGCTCCTTCCCACTGGGAAGTGGAGGCTTGGTGGGCAGAAGGGTCTTGGCCCCGAGAGGCCACAGCTGCTGGCCTGTCCTCTCCCTCCTCCCACCCTCATACTCACCCCAGGCCTGCTCCTCCCCTTCTCCCCCGCTGCCCCTCGCTGGTCCCCCTTCTAGTCGGGATCACAGCAGGGTCACCCTTCCTGCAAGAGGAAAGGGAGGTTCCTTCACCTCCCCTTCGTCTCACGTTCACCCTACCCTTTGCCCATGTTCCCCAGGACGTCTCCTCGGAAGCCACTATGTTTCCAGAGAAGATGAGCAATGGGATGCTGAGGGGCAGCAGAGACCAGGAGGCCATGGCCGTGCCTGAGGAAGGCCCCGCCCAGCCGGGGATCAGCCCCGCCTTCATCCTCCAGGAGACCTCACTGTGATCCTGACTTGGGACCAAGACCCAGAGGCCCCCTGCGATACAGGGATGAGTTTCCTGGTGTTCTGCAGGAGGATCACAGACTGAGTGACCTCACCCACACCAAAGGACCTTGTTCTTGGGAGTTTGTGCTACAGTAGAAGTTGTCATGTCACAGGAGGTTTGAGAGTAGGACAAGGTTTTTCCTTGTTCTTTGCCCATCTGTTCTCTAGAGAACTAGGCTTGCAGGGGGTACAGTTTTGCCAGAAAAAGGGATAGAGGTGAATCTCCTGGCAAAAGGATAATGGCTTCTGATTCAGCATCGCCAGGCTTCTTTGAGGTGAATAGAAATAGCTGTGCTGGGCCCACTCTGGCAAGATTGATGCAGAGCTGCCTTGGCCAGCTCTTGCATCCCTTGCAGACCCATCGGAGCACAGGTTCTGTCAGCCACACAGGGCCCCTGTAACACTACTTTCAGGTTGTCTGTGCTACCCAGACGTTCTTACCTGTCTACCTCCATTCTTGAGAGGGAGGTTTTGGTGTCCCTGAGAGGCCTCTTGGAACACACAGGTACATTCATCTCCTTTGTGTAGAGTAGGGACGCTTTTTACCTGGCTGCCCCACCCCCTACCTTTGCAATGGGCACTTGGGGATGGGGTGGATGTTGATCCGAGAAACCAGGGCATGACCAGGTTCACTGTGGAGTGCACCATCCGTCTGACTCCTGAGCCATGCCACCCTCATGTCATTTGGTCATTCATGCTCCTGTTTCCTTTTGGAGTTTCTTACCCACATATCTTTGTTCCTAAGGAATAAAAACTGCCATTGGGCTAGAATCTGGGTTCCTGTTCTGTCTGCACCTGCTCTTGTCCACCCTAGTCCTATCCCTGTTGAGGGTGAAGAACCCCTCCTCCCATGCACAGGTCTTCCCCTGCTGAGGAGAGACCTGCAGGAGACCAAGGGTGGCGTGGTGAGGTTTCTGATCTCTGTGGCTGGTGTGCATGTCTACAGGGAGTAATGTGTTCATGGGGTTGAACGTGCACACTTTCCTCTGCTGCTTCTCTTCAGAACAATCTACTGCTCTGAGAATTTCCACTTTGGGGGCAGGAGGAAGAAGTTTGCATTTAAAAATAGAACATTTAAGGTGGATATTTATGGTCTTGTGAAGAACACCCTGCTCATGCCCACCCACACTTGATCTCTATCTCTGCTTGGCCCCATCCAGCTGCCCAGATGCACAGGCTCTCCAGGCCCCTCAGCAGAGACCAGTCCCAAGCACATCTGGGCAGTCCCAGAAAATGCCAGGTTAACTTTGTCCTGAGAACTGCCCTCCTCTTGACAGCCCCCCACCTTGGTGCTGAGGGCCACAGCTCAGCCTGTTTCCCCACCCCACCAAGCTGCCAGGGTTCTAGCCCTAGCCAGGCTCTCATTCATTCCTTTTTTTAAAATTTTTTTTAAATTATGAAAGTATGATAACACATTTACAGGAGACTTGGAAAATACAGAACAAGGTTACATATAGTTCCAATATATATTACAGTTATTTTTTAAATAGGTAAATTTAAGACTTTTAATTGGAATTGGAGTTTGATCTATTCTTCAGCATATTTATCCATCACCCACTTCATGCAAGGGCCTCACCTTGGGGCTGTCTTACAGCTAAGGAATGACTGTGCCACCCAGGGACCCTGCACCAGGTCCCACCATTGGCATTTTCAGAGCGGCCCCTTTTTGTCTCAAATTCCTGTATTTTAACTGTATTTACATAGAAAAGGGGGGACCCTATAGGACTCAGAACTTTTACAAGTTATATTAAAGGGGAATAATAAAGAGATTCATTCTCCATATAAATAATTCAAACTCCATGACAACACATGTTCCTTCGTCTCTAATGCAGTAACTTTTATCTTCACGCAGAAAAGTACCATTTAATGATTGAGGGTGGTCTAATGTGGAGAAGGCAATGGCAACTCACTCCAGTACTCTTGCCTGGAAAACCCCATGGACGGAGGAGGCTGGTAGGCTGCAGTCCATGGGGTCGCGAAGAGTTAGACTGAGCGACTTCACTTTTCACTTTTCACTTTCATGTGTTGGAGAAGGAAATGGCAACCCACTCCAGTGTTCTTGCCTGGAAAATCCCAGGGACGGGGGAGCCTGGTGGGCTGCCATCTATGGGGTCGCACAGAGTCGGACACAACTGAAGTGACTTAGCAGTAGCAGCAGCTAATGGACTGATCTGGATTCAAATACTGGTTCATCCATCCACTTAACCTCCTTAAGCTTCAGTTCCTTCATCTATTAGGTGTGAATTTCACAAAGATTCAAGATTGTAAAGGATTGGTGTATCCCTTAAATGCCAGTTATTGTAATTGTAGTTTTCAAAGCACTTTTCACGACTACCCGATTTTATACTTTGGGGGAGAAGTGCACACTATGTCTGCATTTTCATGTGTCAGGTACTGGATTGCTTGCCTAGTGATTGGCTGAAGCAGGGCTGGAACCCAGGTCTGTGACTCCCAGTGGCCTCCCAAAGTCACATCTCTTGTCCTGGAAGCTGTGTCCTTTGGGATAGAGTGCACACACAGGTGACAGGGTCTATCCTGAGACAGCAGTCCAGAGAACAATGATGTACTAAATGGGGTGCTACTGTACCATCATTCTAGAACCTTCCTAGGTCACTGGCCTTCAAACCTTGCTTGAGACCCACAGTAAAATGTTTCACAGCATGATCCAGTACACTCATACATTGCATTGTATTACTAAAACATTTCATGAAAAAGGCTCTCTAGGTATAGTTACTATTTCTGGAGCTGTCCTTTTCCCTTTGCTCTGAATAATTCAGTCCTCATGCCATCATGTGAAGCAGAGCAAGTTAGGCATTCATGCTGGAGGCTGTCATGGATGTCAGAGCTCAAGTGAGAGGAGGGAGGTCATGCACAGCACTGGCCCAGCTTGGATGTGAGACCCTGAGCAGGACGAGGAGGTATCCACACAGGGCTGAAGCCTGCTGTGGTGTGTTAAGTCCCTGTTGGGTGAGGAGTGTCCATGGGGGTCAGAAGCCAGATGTAGGGTTGGAGAATATGAAAGGCGTCCTCAGAGGCAAGAATACGTGTGGGTTGTCAAAGGAAGTGAGTGAGGTGGGAGCTCATAAGGGGGACAGCTTGACTGGGGGCAGGGGGTGTTAGTAGTGGTGTCAGCATGAGGAGAGCTTGGTAGGTGGCTTGGCGTGGCTTATCAAATCCAGTGTGTGTCTTATGTGGAGAATCAACTCACACAGAATGAAGAGGGCATCTACACATGCGAGCAGCTCAACCTGGGCTGTTAGAGCCTGAGTTCTGTGAGAAGGGCATCTATACAGGAGGAAGATCTGTCATCAGATGGGAGCCCAAGTAGGGTGAGGAGGTCATCTGCCATGGAGGCAGCCAGGGCTGGGGTGTTGGCTCAAGTGAGGAGATGAGTCCACATAGGGGCCAGCCCACTGCAGTCTCACAGCCTGAGTAGGATGAGGAAGGCATAATATGTGTGAAAGAACTGTTAGGGCTGTGACAGTCAATAGCATGAGCCATGTTTCTCACTATTGGAGAAGAGTGTTTCGTGGAATGGGAGAAAGCAAGAATGAACTCTGTGGTGAATTGGAAACAGGAGGTATTGGCGTGTGTTCCTGGTTTTCAAGAGATCTACATAAATATAGAAATAGATATGGGGACTTCTGTGGTGATCCAGTGGCCAAGACACCGAGCTCCCAATGCAGGGGGCCCAGGTTCGATCCTTGGTCAGGGAACTAGATCCCACATGCCACAACTAAGAGTTCACATGCCGCAATGAAGATCAACGATCCCGCGTGCCACAACTAAGATTTGACTCAGCCAAATAAATAATATTAAAGAAGGAGAAAGAAACAGAGATGGATGTAGCTGTGTCTGCTGAGGGTTTGGGGGGCAGTAGTAGCATGGGATCAACAAGAGCTTTGTGCCTAGACCTTGGATTCTAAATAACATTCTCCACTAAAAACGTCAACGACAACAGCAACAAAAAACCCAAGACTTCTTGGAGAAATCGTTGATTCTAGGGCTGGGACCAAAGTACCAGCTAGGCTTGGAACATCATGTGCCAGAAAGCAAAGAACTTATCGAGGAAAGATAAGATCATATCAAAAGGACACAGAAGCTAGCTTGAAGGGACTCCCACCAGCCAAATCTGGAACATTCTGAGCATTAAAATAATATAATGGATGATAAGCTATTAAATGAAAAAAGGAAATCATAAGTTCATACTGATAAAAGTAGTAAGAGTTTAGATAGGGTATGGAATCTTTATATAGTTTCAAATACTTACCTCTTCATGAAACACTTACTAATTACAAGGGAAAAAGAAGAACTGTAGTGGACCCACCTGGCAGACACCATCTTAAGTAATCAAAATCAGCATCTTCTGTAAGGGACAAATCAGTCATACATCACCTGACAAGATGCAAAGGGAAGAGCACATAACCACCTCTGTGATTCTCTTGTCAGAGATGTATAACCTGAATCTAATCATAAGAAAATATCAGACAAAACAAAATTGAGAGACATTCCATAAAATAAGTGGCTTGTAATTATTGGGACCATAGCTGACAATTAAATACGATCTGAGTATTAGATGAAAGTAACATTAACTTCTTGACTTTGATGCTTCTGTTGTGGTTACAGAGGGTCATGTTCTTGTTAGTAGGAAATATACAGTGAACTGAATTTCATGCATCATCTACTAAATGTATTGTGATCCACTGAAAACACTGTAGTGATAGGTTTCATTCCCAGCTTTCAGACACATGATCTGTTTCTTTCCCACCTTCTGCCACCACTCTAGAATTCCTCTGGAGGATTCTGAGGCCTCTATGGATTTTCTGTTTTCCTAAAGGGATCATGTGGTGTGAGAAGCAAAAGATCTATCTATGAACCTCCAGTCCCAGTAGGCAGCCTTGGCTCCTCTGCATCTGACAGCAGAAAACAGATGACTCCATGGCAGGGCTGGTAGTGAAGCCAGAGGTGGTGAGAAGCAGGGAAGAAACAAGATTCTGTGTCTGAAAGCTGGAATGAAACCTAGCACTAGTGTTTTACGTGTTTACATGACCCTACATAACCACAACAGAAGCATCAAGGTCAGAATGGGGTCTTCAGTCCATGTGGCCATTTTTACCAGAGAAAAATCCATCCAACTACCAATGTATCACTAATTCATTTGGCAGAGATTCTAGCTCCCAAGTAATAAACTGGTTTTGTCATCTGAAAAACAATTTTACCAACCTAGAATTTTGCACTTAATCAAAATATAATCCAAATGTGAACATGAAACAAAGATACTTTTGGATATACAAGGAAACATAAAGTCGACAGATGTCAACTGTTAGAATGATGACCAAATTAACAAATAACATTTATTGTTTTGTCTAAATAAGCAGGGATTAGTTTTCAAACAATCAATATAATCTGGAACTAAACTCCAAGAGCCAAGATTTTCTTTTCTCTTTTTTAGAGAACTGGATGTAGACTCACATTGGATAATAGAAAAATTACAGTATGAGGTAAACGTTTAAAGATAGCTGCAAAGAGATCCTACCATTCCATCCTAAAGGAGATCAGTCCTGCGTGTTCATTGGTATGACTGATGTTGAAGCTGAAACTCCAATACTATGGCCACCTGATGCGAAGAGCTGATTCATTGGAGAAGACCCTGATGCTGGGAAAGATTGAGGGCAGGAGGAGAAGGGGACGATAGAAGATGAGATGGTTGGATGGCATCACCAACTCAGTGGAGATGGGTTTGGGTGTACTCCAGGAGTTGGTGATGGACAGGGAG